GATTCACTGAAAATAAACACATTAACCTTAAAATGTAAAAAGCCGTTGTGATTTTTAAGCCTGGCCATTTAAGAACACTCTGATTCTGTAAAAACTTTTAAGTATATTATTCACTTATTATTTAATTCCCACATTTTACCAATATTATCAGTATTACACTCATTTGAGGCTTGTGCAGATGTGATGGATGACACCGTGTTTCCAGAGGAGTAATTAACTGGTTAGCTAACTCCTCGGCTAATAAGTCATTATTAAGTATTTAAATTAGCATATCACTGACTTTGACACGCACTTAATAATGTGTTAAAACATTTGTTAAATTATAATCACTATGTCATGCCTTTTATAAGTGGACAGTAATTGAAAGTGTTAACCCAATGAGCTCATAATCAAACAAAGGGACCCAAAGCAGAAGACAATGACACGCCGCGATAATTTGCTTTAAGTATGAAGTCCAACATTATCCTTTTGTTGAAAATGATCCTCTCTCTGCAGTCAAACAGAAAACATCTGACATAACAAGAGATGAAACTGCACTGTCGTTGCCCTGAGCAGAACTACACAGACAAGATGTGGTGATTATCATAAGCGTGCAGAATTATCACACAGCGCTGATTTCAAGTGCAACAGAAGTGGGACTGATTCATGTAATTTAAGTGCTGCAGTTGGATCAGACAGCCAGCTTAAACATAACCACTCCAGCTGCTGTTATCAAAGAGAAAAAAAAAAACACACTGTTCTGCCTTTAAAGGTGTTGGTCATTTCACCTGTTGTGTAATGCAAAACAGTAAAATCATACATGTGTCCCTGACAACATTTCAACTACCCTGAAGTTTGAGGAGAGGAAAGTTTGGTACCAGATCAGGTTAATTATAGCTCTTATTTCATCTTTATTTTCAGTAAAGCTGCAGCACTTTTAAAATGGTTGAGAGTGTGCTGCTCAGGAAAAAGAAAAAAGCTGATCTGCCAAACTGAAGTAGAAATGTCCTGTAAAGCTTCTTTGAGGAATCAGTGAGGATTTTGGTGCCACCATGTACCGGGGCTATAGTCCTCCAAGTAGGTGGCCCGGGTTCAAGTCCGACCTATGGCTCCTTTCCTTTCCTGCATGTCATTCCCCACACACAGACAAAAAATCTTTAATTTGTATTGCAAACATGTTGCATTGAACTGTAGTCTTCATCAGAAAATCAGCCGTTCTTTTATATTCTGTCGTCATGTAAGCATGGTATGAACTGTCCCTGCCTCAAAAGGCAAACTTTGGTGTCCTCTTTCAGCAGAAAAAAAAGAACACACTTCGAGTTTTCTCGAACATAAAATGGTGAAACAGTACAAACCCACTGAAACTTGTGTTTATTTTTAATGCTGGCAATGTTGAGTGGCACCAGGATTACAGACCTTAATCAAAGCATATTGTTTCAAATGCAGTGAGTTTATCGGCATTAAATTGCAGCCCATGACACGTCAGATGTGGTCAATAGTCTCTCAGCAGGACTGTGCTGCACTCCACTTCTCCCACAAAATGCTTCTGCTGCTGTCACTGCTGCCAATCATCGCCCTCGCTCTCCTCCGGCCCCTGTGGCAGCCTGTTAACGGATATCAGAAACCTCAACATCAACATGCAATAACAAACCTCCCTTCCCTCTCTCTTTTTGTTTCTCTGTGTGTCAGCGCGCTCACCCGTGTTTGCTACAGTTTGAGCATGAGACGGAAGAGAGAATAAGAAAGTGACTTGAGCTCTTGACTTTACGCTCCCTCCTTGGCGACTCAAATGTTAAATTCTAATCTTTCTCCATGTTGCGTCAGGAAGTGCTCACCTCTCCAAACATCCATGTGTGTCTGCACGTCTTCCTTCATGTTTTGTTGACTGCAACCCTATTATCTGGTGACTTTTAAAGCCACTAGGTGTAGAATTTCTATAAGATTATGACGCCTTTGAAATTAGTATGAAGGCACAAAGTGAGACAATACAAGCACAAATAAGGATGAGAGAGGGTATTCATGCTCATTGCTGTATGCCATGCTGTCTATTTAAAAGCTATCACTAGGGGGTGTGAAAGCTGACTTTCTACAATGAGCTGCACTGTGTGTTTGAGGCTAATGCCACTTTCTATTGTTTGTGTAAAACTTATATAACTGTGTTTTAGGGGTATATGTAAAGATGTGATTAGTTTTCCCCGGTCAAAGTGTTCAAATACATTTTCAAAGTGAAGTAAAATTAATATAGTAGTCTTAAATACTGTGAACAAACCAAGCGACAACCTTCAGTGTTGAAATATAAAGCCAATGCGGAAGTGCAAATTCCTACAGTTAGGCGAGTGTCTGCTTGAGGCTGGCTGCAGTTCAGCAGAAATCACATACACACCCAATCAAGAAATCAACATGTTTACAACCTGGTTGAAAAAAAAAACAACCCGATATTGGTGATTAGCTCATTAGGAATTTGGATTTTATCAAGGTTAAGTGTAACTCACAATGAGGCGCGTAGCTTACCTGACTGATGGACGGGTGAGGTGCAGCTGTTTGTCAGAAGGCTTAAGACCCGCCTCAGCTCCAGCTCTTCCTGCCTGTCGATAGGTTGACTGACTGTAGAAAAAACTGACACTTTAATCTTTCTTAAAGAATTGTCACTCCGGTATGTACGGAGCGAAATATTTTACAGTTGAAAAATACAATTATCAGCGCTCTCTGGTGGACTAACAATGTCATAGCAACACTATCTCTAAGTTGGGCATTTTGCAATGTTTCCTTAACGCCCAGCCTCTCTGATGTTTCGACAGACACCACTCCGCCGTAAAATCTATTTACTCCAGTGGAAGAAAAAAGATGAATCAGTCAAACTTTGGTGAACTTTTATGCCTGAGTTTTTTTACAAGCCGCCTTGACAAAGCCGACCTTTAAGGGAACAGAGAGTGAGGATCCGCAATGGAGGAAGCTATCTGTGTTGCATCTATTTAACACTCCCCTGTTAGAGTGGAAACTGCTAAAGAAACAGATGGATTGCAATCAGTTATGAGTAAATATGTCTTTGTAATGAACTTCATGACCTTTTTGTGACTGGGAAGTTCAATAGCTCCATATTGAATAAGATGATGGTTTCACTGCTGTGATTGGATGGTGTGTTCTCACTTGGCTAGCCTGTAAGCAGTTATCCCCTTTTATCAACGTTGACCAATATGTCCTGCTAATATAGACAGACATTTAAAAGCCTCAACAACTTCATAAAACTTCTCTGTGTACTCCCTCGCAGATACCGCCAGCGTCCACCATTTTGGTGATGATGATGTGGCCGCATGGGATGATGGTCTCTGTAGTTCCCACTTCCCTCCACTGTGCTCCTCTGCAGCTGAAACAAAACGACTTTTTTTTTTTTTTTTTTTTTGGCCTGGAAGACCTTTTAACATCACAGGTCCACGATAGTATCGAGACACTCTTGATCTTGCGATATCATGAAATTGACCATACTGTGACAACCCTAATAGAATATAATTCAATACGTATATTAATAGACGATGTCTGCATGTTCCTATGTGTGTCTGCGTACACGTGTGTGTTGCAGAGAGCCCTCGTGCCACAGTTGGTTGTGTTCATCTGATAGGAGGCGGGGGAGATTGAACCTTGGTGATTTAGCCGTCATGTCAGCGGAATATTGATGCCCCGCGCGGCTCGGGTGGGGAAATTATAAAGCACAGAGCCAGGAAATGCATCTTAATTGCTGTTTAAGTGGGCGTCTTCATCAGAAAGAGAGAGAGAGAGAGAAAGATGGTGGGCCGCGTCCCCATACGATTCCGAGAAAACAGATAGATGGGTTAACACTCCTCTGCAGCACTCTATAGAGGGGAGACAAATGAGCTCATAAAGAAAGCGTCTAATAGAGGACTGCTCTGTGAATAGAGAGGGGGGGAGGGGGGAGGGGGGGGGGACCTCAGACACTGTAACTACAGGAGAGGTGTCTGTTTATGAGGCACTGTTGAAAGCTCGCAATACTGCACAAAGTCCTTTTTAAATTTCTCTCCTCTGACTTCCAATGTGGTTATGTGGCGCTATTAAATTTCATTAACACCCCGAAACAGTTTGCTTTCAAAACCAACACGAGGAAATTAACTTTTAATCTTTTGCATGTCAAACCAACCTCAAGTATTGCACACATTTGAAAGAAATGAAGACAAATGTAATGCTTAAAGCGAAGGCTAGAGTCTAGAGATCAAATTAAAAGCACTGTCATAATGCAGAGTCTATGTAAAAAAAATAAAAAAAAAATAAAAAAGAGGATTCATGATGTTATCTTATGCCACAATGCATTTATATGTGTGGTATGTACACTCCTGCAAAGGCCACACCAGCACACTGCATGCTGTAAACTCAGACTATCCCTCCATTCATTCCCAGTGTGTTTATGTTGCTGTGGAGTGGTCAGAGTTGACACAAACACACTATAATCTGTCGGTACACCCAGCCTGACCCAACTTTAACTGCCGCTGGTCACCGTGGTGACGATAGAGCACAGTTATAATTGGTTTACCGCTTTGTTCTTCCTCTCTTTGCCGGGGAAAAAGGGTTCAGGTTACCGTCACTGTGGCAGCCAGCGATAAAGCCCATTTTTCTGGCTGAAGGCGCAGTCAAGGAATGAATGCTCAGGATTAGTTTTCAGGAATCAGCTGAAGAAGAAGAAATTAATAAATATAGAAGAATGTAGTTTTGCTGAAACGTGTTTGGACTGCTCAGAAGGTTCTCCCAAGTATATTTTTCTTATTTGGCACTTTAAATCTTGTTTTGTATCACTGCCTGGCTGTCCCTGTGTGTGTGCTAAACAAGGTGAAAGAGTTTAATTCGGGGGAGATTTTTGGAATATGCGACATGAAATGAAAAAATACTCTGTAGCTGCTGCGTGTGGTTCTGAAGAATTGTCAAAGCATCTGTCTGTTTCGTCTTTTTTTTTACACCTGTGTATTCTCCTCCCCTGTCCTCTCCTCCCGTTCAGAACCGTGTGGAGATAAATGACGTGGAGCCAGATGTCTTAAAAGAGATGATGTGCTTCATCTACACAGGCAAGGCCCCCAACCTGGACAAGATGGCTGTGACCTGCTGGCTGCAGCTGACAAGGTACAGAGAGGGGGCGTGGATGTGTGCTCGCTCACACCTGCTACTATGTTCATTTACACATAAGATGGTATGCATAATAATGCCCCAAAATAAACAACTCCCAACTGAACTCCCAAACACACAAACATTGTACTTTTGTTACACTGTATAAACATACAGAGATGCACACATTCATCAAACTTAATGTTTCCTGATTGTCCAAAGCATTTGAACCCTCATGTCTCTCTTGCTGCTGAAGCCTTTCCTAATATGACTCTTTCATAATAAAGCTTTTTTATTTTATTTTATTTTTTTATGTAATGACTGGACACATTTATTGTGAAGGGTTTGTAGGGAAATCAAAGCCCACTTTTTAAAATCATGTTGGGTTTAGACAATGGATTCATCAGTTGAAACACATTTAAGCAGGTGGACCTTTGTTTATGTCTATGTTAAAGCCACTGACAAGTCCAAAAGGAGACACGCTGTAAGCGACCGCATCTTTGCTGTCGAACCTTTAGAGGAGAGAACACAAGGTTACCTCGTAACTGTGCCATAATTCATTTTCATTGTAAACACTGACACAAGTTGCAGGCAGTTCTGTTGGGTTTAGTAAGTGTGTAGGTCCTTCTGGCTCTGCTCTCTAAGTGTCAGAGTGAAACATGCAGGAGACTAGGACTCCATCTGAGCTGTTGTCCATCACAATAACATTACTTTTATTTACCAACCTCTATGGCTGTCAGATTAAGCTATCAGTGGCATGAATTGGCAACAATTATGACTGTATTGCAAAAATCCATGTCATGCCAGAACGTAATACTGGGGACAGTATTGAAAACAGTCTCTGGCTCACAGGTGCTGTAACTCAGATGACTTTTGTTGATCCCCTAACCCTTCTTTGTTGAATAAAATGTTTGGATCAGGCAGCAATCTATCCGCACTTTATCTGTAACACTTGTTTCGAAATGAGTTGAAGAGTGCAAAATTGCAGTTCCAAATGAGTGTTTTCCTCTGTCAGCAGTACTTTGAATTTAAAGGCTTGGGACACATTTACTCATTAGACATATGCAAGACTTGTCTTTAACATCTAATCTCAAGGTTTATTTAGCAGAAGTTCATTTAAATTAATAGTTTTAAATCATTAGTTTGTAAGTTACTTGCTAAATTGAAAAATTGTTGTGATGCAAAATTCCCTGTAGTGTCTCCTGAACACAACAAGACTCTTCCTGATAGTGAATGAGGGGAAATGATTGTTCCCTGAACTTAGTAATCAAACTTAGTGGAAATGATTTTCTTACCCCTCCAGTGATCCCCTCTCCCATCACCCTCCTTCTTCAGTCTGCGTAACTGTCACTTTCACTCCTCTCGGCAATATATTTTTCTTATTTAATCTAGGCCTTGTTGCCTGCGCGCTGGAGTAATTCTGCATTTCCGTATCATTACACAGCGAAACAACAGTTGTTGTTGGCAGCGCTGTTTAAGTAATTTAGTTTACCTGCTGTTTCTCCTCTCTCTCTCTGTCATTGGCAGTATACGCTCCAGAGAGGCTGAAGGTGATGTGTGAGGACGTTCCAAGCACCAGGCACAGAGATCCTCCTCCTCGCCGACCAAGACGCTCGCCACGAGGTTAATCAACATGTGAGTAACTAGAGTAACTAGAGATCATTCAACTCCAAAAGTACTTCCACTACACACACACTCATACCCTTAGTTTATTGTTTATGGACGCCACGCATGTTAATTCAAAGCAGTTAATTTACAGCCATACAAAAATAATTCTATCCCAGAATTCCTACCATTTTGCTTCTATGTTATATTTTGCATTTACATTTAGCATTCAAGCTCAGCTGCTGATGTTAAGAGAAGGCCTATTAGCATCCATGACTTCTATTTGTGTGCTTTGAGAGGGGATTCATTTAATAGGTTATTGTCTAGTTGAAACTTTCTCTCAGTTAAATCCTCAATGCAGAACCTTCCTGCTTTTTTCTCTGGATTTTGTGTCTCCAACAGAGACATTTTTCAATCCCAATTTTCATTCCTTTCTCCTCTCTTTACAGCTTTACTCCATCTCCTGGCCTCGTTCTTTCACTGGCTTCGCCTCCCTTCCTTCCTCCCTTTTCTCTCTTCCCTCCCTCTCTTGTGTTGAGGAGCTCCCATGCGCCTAAAGGTGTTCAGTAATGCAGATTTCTGGCCCTAATCCCGGTCATTAATTGTGGTTATGGGCATTATGACAGTTTAATTTGCGACAGAGTTGTTGCGATGGTGGGAAAATTGGCCACGGGGGACTCGTGGGCCAGCGAAAAAAAAGCGTTATCAACCCTCCTCCTGCGGACACAATGGACAGCAACAAGAGCAACAAAACAAAAATCAATTTAGAGGACGTATATAAAAAACAGACGACACGGAGGAGCCAATAATCCACCCCCACAGTAGCACCTCTACCTCTTTCCAGACCAGTCTTCACAAGCAGCGTACAGTCATTTAGTCTGCTCTCTTTATCCTGCTGCTGTCTGAAGTATGAGCCTCTGCAGGGATGTAACACCGTGTACGCACACCCAAACACTCTCTTTATAAAGAAAATAAGAAGAGACTTTTAATTATATTAGAATGAATAGCAGGAAAGAAGTCAGTAATATAAAGCAAGAGTCTTTTTCAGGATTTTCTGAAGTACTTTTTTTTTTTTCATATTAGTGGTTGTCCTCTGATAACCACTGACTGGAGGTCACAGTTTGGCCTCTTCCTAATTTCATCCTCACATCAATGTTCCTCTCCCTGTCCCTCTCTGCACACATTCATTACTCTCCCTCCCCTCGCTGTTTTTTTTTATTTCTTTATTTTTTTAATCTGTTTTTTTCTTTGTTTCCTCCCTCAGTCCAATCCCCCCCCCCTTGCTGTGGCTGCTCTCCTTGTGCCCTTTGGCTGGACCCTGTTGCTTCAGCCTCAGCACGCTGGCCATTACTGGAAGCAGGGGGTCACTTCCTCCCCAGAGGGTTGGGGTCAGGGGTCGACTGGGGGGGGGGGTCTGGAGCTGCTGTGTGGACAGCATACAATCACAAACATAAACACACACAAGTGAGATGACACAACACACTGACACACACATGCTGTTGATAATCGACATGCAATAAAACGTGAGAAATGTCATTAAAGGCCACACAGAGGGGTGCGTGATAGTGCAGCCCAGCGCCCCGAGGGCTGAGGACTGCCACAGGATCTGCTGCTGGAGAGTCACATCTGTGGAAGATGATTACCACAAATAAATCAGCTGCACATATGCTAAGCTTGTAGGTTGAATTTCGGATCTTAATCCCATCACAAATAATAAGTTAACTCTGAGAGCCATAGAAAAAATGAAATAAGAAAAGCATTTGAGCAACGTTACTCTTATTCTATAAAAGCTGTTGAAGCTAAAAGCTCCTGTGAGGTTTGCGTCACTTTGGTGACCCAGTGGGTATAGAAGTCCTCGTTAATCTTGTCCTGTACATGTTTAAGAAAATGTTCTACACCAGAAAGCTCACCCTGCGTTCTTTCATAATCAGTTTTATCATTTATAGAAACCTTTGCCCTGGAAAATGTTTTAAAAGCAAAACTTTTGTCTAGGCAGTTTGCAGTCAATCACGTCAACTGACACCTACCCTGCGGCAGCAGAGTCAGATCTTAAAAATAACTGAACAGAAATAGTCAATCTTATTGCAGATGGTCTTGTTTGTTTTTGTAAATCTTTAAGAGGCATCAATATTAATTTAATTCTGTTTCATAACCAGCGGAAAACCCCGCACAGGAGCTTTAAGAATGTTGCAGTCGACTATGAAATCTCTCAAATATTCTGATCCAATTCCTCCTGGTCAACACTTAAGACTTGATTATTTTACTATATATCTCTATTTCATTATCATTCATATCATGTGGAAGTGGGATGGTTTTGTTGTGCAAATCATGCAACAAAAATGAGAAGTGGCAAAACAATTGCAAACTGTACTTTAAAAACAAACATTGAGGAATAGTTTTTGAAGTATCACAGCTCTAGCCTGTGATAACTTAACCTGAAGACAGAGTCCCCAAAGGGTTTCCAAAATAAAACTGGAAAGATATGAAATAATTAACAATAGAAAAACCTTACAACCTTTCTGCTCCTGATAAATTCTGTTTATTTTTCTCAGTTTTCTCACATTTTTTTTTCTTCAAAAATTGTGTGAAATACTGTGAAGCTTAACCTCCTCTGGACTCCATTTAAAAATAATTTGATGTGGGAAGAGAGAACCATTTTTTCAGCTGAATTGCTCATCGTTCACATCCATATGTGATGTGTGACGACAGGTTGTAAGTGGGCATTGGCTACAAAGGTTCACATGGCCAAACAGCTTCAGTTTTGGTGCTCTGACTGTGATTTGATATCATAGCATATATGACAAAACTATGACTCAACACAATCTGTATACACATGTCCACATATTTACAAGCCTTACTGTGTGCTTTTGCTCTTTGGGATGTTATTTCTTTCAATATTTTAGCCACAGTCTCACAGTCAGTCATATAATCCCAGCCTCCTTAGAGAATCCTCCTATTTATTTAGCTTTTACATTTTCCCCACTGTCCTGTCCTTTGTATCTTCACCTTCTTTCTCGCAGTTAGAGGCTTATCACTCGCCGACTTCAGCTCAGTGCCCCCTCCTGGGCTGTGCCCCCCCCTGTCCTGAATCTGCTCTCCTGTACCAGCAGCCTCTCTGTTACTCTGCCCTCAGTCCTCCTGTCTCTCCTGCAGCATCCACAGAATTAAAACCTGGTTGTATATGGCAACAGATGAGGGAGCTGCTTTAAATCTGTGCAGATGGGAATGGAGTGAATTCTGTAAGATCTAAAGCTGGATAATAATGGATTGCAAGCACTCAAGTCTCATGTATTCCATATCCCTTTTGTCCGTGATATTGGAGAGCAACCTGCAAGGTGGTCATATAAAAAGTGATCTTCTTTCTCCAAAGGAAAAGTCAGCGCTGAGTCCCTATGAATAGATTGATGGGGTTTTTGCGCCATCAGTGTCTTGAGCCCAAACTGGGCTTGTAAAAGACAGGTGAAGACGATCGACCAACCAGGAAGTGAAGGACTTCTGTTCCTTTTGTTGTAGATGTGTTTGTACAAAGCATTGTTTTTGTAAATGACAAAAAAAAAAAAAAACACTGTTTCTGAAGATAAATTAAAGCGTTTCTTTTATGTTCTCTATTTAAACTCTGCCTTAAACTGCATAGAAAAAGCCAGATTTTATCCTTGTTCAACCTTGACTTATTTAAGACTTGGGCCGAAGTGATGAAACACATGCAGAGTTTAAAGGAACAAAAAAACATGATGCCAGATTAATTGGCTGAGCGATCAACGATCTGGCTGTCAGATGATCAGTTGATATCAGATAATTTGGCCGGCTGAGGCACCATATTATCTGTGACATCTGCAGCTCCATGTTTTTCCTTTCTGTCTCTCTATACTTCCCAGCAGAACTGTTGCACAAAGTAGTGTTGGCTTTTTCTCTTCTTTTCAACATTTTATATTAAAAGAGGCACTGAAAAAAAAGAAAGTTTTTCATTCTTACAGCCAGTGTGAGCAGCTTTATCTAAGATGTTTCTTTGAATTGAAAAATGACACTGTGCTATATAACATGACTATAAGATTTTAAAAAAGTCAATGTGTCTGCCCAGGTTTAAAAAATGGTAATGATTAAAGAATAACCAGTTTTACTAAACTGACCTCCCCCTACAATGATGTATGGATCTTGACCGTATAAAATGAAGATTTCTGTTTATTATTTTGTCCGTCCTGTCTGAGACTTTTCCTAATTTACAACCCAAAATAGATTTTGGCCACATCTACCAGCTACTGACTCATCAATAAACAGCTTCTTCCTTTTTTGCTGCCAGATCAGTGAGTGTGTGAGTAACACATTTTACTTCCAGCTTAATCCCTGGTGCACGTGGCACTCACCTCATCTGATCATAGGAGCTCGTATCCAGCTTTGTGGTATGTAGACTCTTTCTCACTCGTGGTCTCAGCACTGTTTGACTCGCTCTCCCTGGCCTCACCGAGCGAGAGAGAGAGCACAGACAGGTTGTAATCACTGCAGGGGGGAGTCAGACCTTTTTTTCTCTTGGACAGTATTTTAACAGGGATTTTTCTGTGTTGACTAAAGTCGAGGCCCAGCAGGCTTTAAGGAAGCTCATGCCTGAGCCCTGCAGATTGCTCCTCATCAAACAGTTAGCCCTGGCGACCATCTTTATGGATATACTGGCAATCTCCCGGCATTCATCAAACAGAGGGGCGGCCATTATTTGTGATACAGACAGTTTACTGTGGCGTCATGGCGGAACCGCATGTTAGTAGGAGTGATGATCAAGTTACATCATTTATTTGCTGAGTGGCATCACATTTTGGAGATATGGTGAGAGAGGTGTGCTCGACAGTTCAGTTGACAGAACAATTTTGCAGACGTATATGTTTCTGGGGTCCTTTTATTACTGTATTACAGAATGAATAGTAGTGAGGTGACATTTGAGGAGAGAGATGGAGAATGGAAACGACTTTCAACAAAGATTCTTACAAGACCAGAACCAGGTGTGTCCAGATGTTGTCTTGGAAGAATAAATACCATGAACT